CACGCAACATCCACACAAAAAATAGTAAGCTTAAAATAAGAATAAAAATACACAAATATATTTGTTTCGACCTAACTCAAAATACCCTAATCCAAACTTAATTTACTAACAAATAAATCTTTATAATTGTGAAACTCTTGGAATAAAAAAAGTCATCTTACTTAAAATTTAATCTAAAACTCATTTACACCCTTTTAATAGCCTACTTATTTAGTTATCTCTTGGTATCTAACTATCTGAGATTATGAAATTCAAGACAAACCCCAACAAATCTTCCATTGACTTGAATCTCTAAACACTTCAATAGTATCTGCAAAGCTAACACGCTTGCCTTTCTTTTTTTCCTTCGCCATAGGAATCTTAGCAACTGAGCTTTTATCAAATATGTATAAGTGATTTTTGACCCTATTCCCTGATAGAATCACACTACTATTTTTGTACACTTTCAACCAATCATTACTACCATAGTATATGTACCCCCCAGAAGCTAACTCACCCAAAGTAATTAAAGTATAGCTACAACTTGGTACATACCTTACATGATAAAGTATCATAACAATACCATTGTGAGATCTAAGGAGAACATTCTCAATGTTTTGAATCTGCATATTTTCATTATTGGTAACCACAATATCCTTATACTTCTCATTCTCTTTCAACTCCACAAAACAACTCATATTGTAGCAACTAAATCTAAATCCTAACCTTTATCATTTTTCAAAGTTTGAGATTCATCTACAAAAGTCGTTAAAATGACTCATCATCATCGAACACAATAGCAACATTATCATTCTTTCATTTATCTGATTTTTTCTTGTCATTCACCTTTTGAAAGTAGCCATATATCTTATCAGCTTCTTACAACATACTTGGATATATCTTTTTTTATTACAATAATAACATTATATATCATTGTAATATCTTTCTCTTGATTTGGATTTCCCTTTTGATTCATCAATAATCTTTTGAGTCTTTCCTCGATCAAAACCCTTAACAGCTAGTGTACTCCTTCTAGTTTTCATAAACCTTTTGTTCTCATACAACATGGCAATCACATCAGCTAACTTCAAAGTAGACCTACCTACCAACAAAGTCTAAACTAAACATTTATAGGACTTGATAAAAAATGACAATAAAATTAAAGTGTTCTCTTCATCTTTTAACTTATCAATAGAAATAATCGATAATTGAGAAACTAATCTATTAAACTCATTCAGGTAATTATGAAGACTTGTACTTTCTTTCATCTTTAAAGAATGTAGATCCATCTTCAAACATAATTTGTTAGTCAATGACTTCGAAACGTAAATACTCTTAAGTTTATCCTATAAACTCTTTAAAGTACTTTCAGTCAACACACTATTATCTATCTCTAGAGCTAGTGCCAATATAATAATACTAACAGCTTTCTTCTAAATTTTATTTCAATTATTATCAGACATTCCTTCAAGCTTATTACTCTTTAATGCCTGGTCAACCTTTTTTTATACCAATAGATCTTGAATCATATTTTGTCATAACATAAAATTACTCTTCCTGTCAAATAAAAGAATTTCAAACTTCGACATAGGCATACTAACATACATTCTTCAAACATCTTGAAATACTTGCTTTACGATCTTTTGAGCCTACCTCTCCTATTTTCGAACCTCGCTCTAATACCATTTGTTAGGATCACGACAGCTTTGATACTACTTACTAGGGTTAAACAAGCCTCAATCAATAAAACTAGCAGAAACATAATCAAACAATTTATCAATTACACAAGAGATAATAATTTAATGTGGTTTAGTCTAACCGACCTACGATCATGGATGAGAAAAAAAGATCCACAGTTGTAGAGAATTACAAACAAATAATCCATATCAAGCACTCAATAATTAATATCCATAGATCCTCTTAATATCCATAGACTCTCTTAATCTCTTTTAGTCTTATGAAATTTCTTCAATCCAAACAAACAGATACTCGTGTGCACCTTTTTAACATAAACAAACACATACCCATATGCACCCATACATCATACCTATGAAGATCATCTCAGTCTCTTCTAGTCCATTCACATGCACCATACCTATATGAACTTTTTTAGTCTCTCTAGTCCACTCATAAACATTTAAACATAAATACTCATAAGATGTAAATCTATAGTAGTTTTATGAGATATCTATCCCACAAAACTTTACAACTCTCTTACATCTTTTTTTCATACCTAATCTTATAAAGACTTCATCTATTTATGAGCATACAAACTTATCTATTAAGAATCTCTTTCATCTTAAAATTTTTTTTTTGCAAGTCTTTTTGTCTATCAAGTAATATTTAATCAATCCTAAAAAAATCTCTTATAAAATTTTTATCACTGTTTCTAATAATCTTCACCTTAACTCAAATTTCATTAAATCATTTATTTTCATGCTAGACATGCTTGGCTTCTAATGCAATAGAAGTCTCATGACAATCTTCTTTGTGTATCTTCACACTTCACGCAAACTAATCTATCAAAGCATGAACTCGATATTTTTCCTTGAATCGAGCTCCTCTAGACTTGCCTCTGTCCATAGCTCGTATCATGTTTTGATACCACTTGTTAAAAAATTAACACGCATACGTAACATCCACAAATAAAATAGCAAGCTTAAAACAAGAATAAAAACACATAAATATATTTGTTTCGATCAAACTCAAAATAACTTATTCTAAATCCAATCCACTAACAAATAAATCTTTACAACTGTGAGACTTTTGGAATGAAAAAAGTCATCAAAAACTCTTTACTCAAAACTTAACCTAAAACTCAATTATATCCTTTTAATAGCCTACTAACTTAGCTATTTTTTGGTGACTTTTTTTATTTCAAAAGTCTCATAGTAAACTGTGCAAATTTCAAAATGGCCTTCCGTACAGTAACTGATTACAGCTGTAGACATCCTAATCTATCTGGAGTTCTACTTGAGTTAATTTTGCTAATAAAAAATAAAAAAATAAAAAATAGGTAGTTGAATTTGAGTGAAATTGTTGTAAGTGGTTTGTAAAGTTGAAATTGGGTTTAAGGTTGAATTTAAAAGAAATTGGGATTCCTTTCTAGATTGGAGTTCTCATATTCAGAACCTTATAAATACATGCATACATAAATCACACAAACACATACAAAAAAAATTAAGGAGAGAAGCAGAAATAAAAAAAAAAAACAGTCAAGAAAACTTTTCAAAAAATTTTTGAGGTTTTAAAAAAAAAATTTTTTAAAAATATAAAAAATTCTCAGATTTCGATGACTTTTTTCAGTTTTTTGTCTCAAGTTGAGCCAAGCGAAGCCACTTTTTAAGCCATTCTAACTTTTCTTCCTGTAGTCGAACAGCGCTGTAGCCATTAGAGTTGAGTCACCTCCTGTTTTGGATTTTTTTTCTTTCTTTATTTATTTTTTTAAGTATTTTTGCATGATTAAATTTTAGAAAAATAAAAATAAAAAAGGTAAAAAATAAAATAAATTTTGGGAATAAATATTAATTATTCAATGATGAAATTTATAGAAATTTCAAATAGTAAATTTTTATAAGATTCTTATATGAGAAATTTTTAAAAAATTTGTCCCAAATTGAAGAATAATTTAGATGAAATTTCAATAAAATTAATTGTATTCTTTTCCTAATTTGGTTGAAAATATTTGATAACTATCCAATTATGAGATTCTTAAAAATTTCAAATGATAAATTCCTAAGAAATCTCTAAGTGAGAAATTTCTTTAAATTTGTCTTAAATAGTGAAAGAATTTAAATGAAATTTCAATAAAAAATAATTATCCTATTATTTTTCTTCTAAAGACAAAAAAATAAGTAAAGACAAAATATTTCTAAATGGACCCAAATTGTGAAAAATTTAGAAATAAAAAAAAAAGATATTTCTAATTTGACCTAAATAATGGAATAATTAGATATATTTTTAACAAAAAAAATAATAAATAAATATTTTTTCAACGACGGAATCTTTTCAAAGAAATGAATGGAATCCTTTGAATACTCTTGAGATGAGAAAATATTTTTAAGAATCTACCAAATTGATGGAAGAATTTTATAAATTTTTTTCAATATTTCAACATAAAAATTTGAAACCATTAGACTTAAGACCTAAAGATAAATTTAAAATAATATGGTACTATCCTTTGGATGGACATGTGGGGGTGTTATAACATTTCCTACATATAACCAAACTCTCGAACCTTATTCTAATTAGTATATCCGAACTTATTCTTTTAAGGACTCTTAATCAAGCTTAGGAGCTCCTTAAGAGGATAGATTCTTCAGGTGATCAATCACACCTAATAAAAAAGATTGGTGACGATTCCATTGGCTGAATCTAGTTATAGATTTACGGATCTATATATTATGACAACAGTCATCAATTTTTTTTTTATTCTTTGGGAAAATATACCAATATTGTAGGAATTTTAATAGATTTAAGATTACCTACTTAGATAATAATTTGAATTTTCAAAATCAATTTATTTATACTTATTTTATAAACTCCTAAAAATCTATTTCTCATTTGACACTTTAAAGTTTAAATAGATTCTTTGATTTTTGTTTTTATCTAGGGAATAACTATTAACGTTATTCACAAATTTTGACAGTCCTAAATTTTTGGATGAATATCAAAGATTTGGCAAGAAAAAAATTAAAAAAAAAAGAATTTTTTTATTAGGATAATTAAAATAAATATTTTTTTATTAATTTTGATAATTATACATGTCTATTTAGTATTTATATAACATTTACCTCAATCCCATTAAAAATAAGTGTAGGTCATATTCTAACAAATATAATATGCATAACGAAAAAAAGTGTTCATATCAGACAGTCCCAAGAAACTAGCGATGAACTACATCAAAGCTCAAATTATGACTATGACTAAAAAAATAGAGCCAACGACCTTCTTTTTTTTTTTTTTAATAATATGAACCGTCCAAACTTTTTCTGCTGATAAAGCTTTTTGTGCAAGTCTTGAGGTGGCCCAAATTCAATTACTTTCTGGCCAGTAACACAGAGACTTCTGGTTTCCAAAATTCATTATTTAACTGCAACTTTGTTATCACATGAGTTATTAAGATTTTTCTTGCTGGAGAACGAAAAAGAATTGGATTGGAAGATCACTAATTCACTATCCATGAGCTATAGTCAGGTCATAGACTTGTTTTTATGTTAGTTTCTTAATCCAATCAGATATTCTTCTACTTCTTGCTTCCGCTCATTCTTATTTAAACCACCTTTGAGCTTCAATTGGAAGCCTAACACAAAAACTTTCAATAAAAAATGGCCCTCAAAAAGTATTTGTCATGGAAAAATATCCTCCCCAACTGCATCAAAACCAAGTACTCATCTTCAGGGCCTAAAGTTCATGCTACCAAACAAAGTCCTAGCCAAAGGCTATCACTTTCTGATATTAGCCACCCTGGCTCTTCACTTTCACTGAGCGATCTTTCAAATTCTCTTATAAGCCTTCATATCTTTGCCCTGAAGGAGCTAGAAGTGATAACACACAAGTTCTCCAAGAGTAATTTTCTCGGTGAGGGTGGGTTTGGACCAGTGTACAAGGGATTCATTGATGACAATCTCAGGCCTGGCCTGAAGGCTCAACCTGTTGCTGTGAAGGTCCTTGATTTGGATGGCACTCAGGGGCATAGGGAGTGGCTGGTAAGCATTTACAGGTTACCATTTCAATTCTGTTCCTGATGAAGTTGAGTTGAAAATAGCAGAATGACCAGTAATTCCGATTTTGTATAGGCTGAAGTTATTTTTCTGGGCCAATTAAAGCACCCTCACCTGGTGAACTTAATTGGGTATTGCTATGAGGAGGATCACAGGCTTCTGGTGTATGAATACATGGAACGTGGCAACTTAGAAAATCAACTATTTAAAAGTTCGTTTGCTCTTCCTTTCAAATTTGCGATCAGCTTTTAACATTGGAATCAACATATAGTTTTGATATTCATGACTGAAATATATGTAATTCTTGCCTTCAATGCAGGATATGGTCCATCATTGCCTTGGCTAACAAGATTGAAAATTGCTATTGGAACTGCAAAAGGCCTAGCTTTCCTCCATGAAGAAGAGAAGCCAGTCATATACCGGGATTTCAAAACTTCAAACATCTTATTAGACTTGGTAAAAACATCATTGTGTGTTAATACTATAAAAGGAATACTTTCATGTATCAGTAAAGACAGAAGAGAAACTGAAAGGAATAAGGTTTATCTTATTGTCAGGCTTACAAAGCGAAGGTCTCTGATTTTGGATTGGCAACAGACGGTCCAGAAGGGGAAGAAACACATGTTACTACTTGCGTCATGGGCACGGAAGGCTACGCGGCTCCTGAATACATAACGACTGGTACTAGAACTATTCTCAGTTTTGCTGATATCATTCATAATTTAATAACAGTTGACAAGAATTAATACGGTTTCTGATTTTCCAGGGCATTTGACGACTATGAGCGATGTGTTCAGCTTTGGTGTTGTACTTCTAGAACTCCTGACAGGCAGGCGATCCGTGGACAAGACCCGACCTGGTCGAGAGAAGAACCTTGTGGAATGGGCACGGCCTCTTTTGAAGGACCCTTATAAACTTGATGGAATTATGGACCCAAGACTTGAAGGACAGTATTCAACTGAGGGGGCTAGGAAGACTGCTGCATTAGCTTATCAGTGTCTGAGCAACCACCCCAAATCTAGACCAACTATGAGCAATGTCGTCAAGGCCTTAGAGCCTCTCCTGTCCTTGACAGACATCCCAGTTGGACCCTTTGTATATATAGTTCCAACTCAAGGGAATAACCAGCCTATTGTTCAGAAGATTGAAGAAAGAGAGGAAAAAGAGTTAAAAATTGAAAAAAATGGTGGGGGAAAGGAAGAAAAGAAGGAGAAAAGTCGATTGCCGCGTCAAAAAGGTCGAAGGCATAGACGTCGAGTTAAGCCATCAAGGTCTCGGGCTGTGTATTCGGACACTGATTTGTATAAAACTCTAGGATCTAGTTTGTACTCTCCCAAGCAGTAGAGACAATCAGGCAAACAAGCATACTTTTAATCAGATTGTACATTGAGGTTTCTTTTTTTATTTTTTTTTACGTTTGTTTTTCCCTTTCTTTCATTATCTGTCTCTTTAGAGAGTCGGGAAAATTGATGGAATAATATAAGTTTCGATTTTGTTTGTTGTCGGACTTATTGCATTTTACCATAGGAGTTTTTTCGTATGAAAATAGAAGTTTTTTCCCATGAAATACATGTTTGTTTCTTCTAAAACACATGCAATTTGTTTGTTTTCAACCCCTATAACAGAAACACCGATTAGCCTAAGCTGTGGGCGAAGGATGAGGTTTGACGACTTATTAAATATGGAGTACAACGTTGTATAATTTTCCACAATAACTTCAGCAGGGTTTCTATCCTTTTTTTTTTTTTTTTCTGAAATAATTATATTCAACACGACATATTCCGACTTTTGCTGAACTTCTTAAAAGCAATTGACTGCAATTAGTGCAAACATACCCAACTCTTCTGGATTGTATGTGAAATGTTCATTGGCTTCTGCTGTGAAACTGTAAGTGGTCAAGGTTCCATAATCAGATTAACTAAAAAAATCTAGCGTTTGGTATGTTCAAAGTCTTATTAGCAAAACCAGAGTTGGTGAATCCTTTCACGAGTCTGATGCAGAGTTTCAAAAGCTAAGCTACAAAATTTTCACTTTGCAATTCCACCACTCCCATCAACCCCATCCTCTTATTCTAGCCAAGTTTTTAGAATTTCCCATTTTGAACGTTCCATCTCTGGTTTAGAAGTTAGGCAACATAAGAAATTGTAAAAGAATTTCCAGGCATCAAGTAGACAAATGAGGCAAGAAATGAGCATTAGTAGCATGACTCGCCAGTTGTTACCCACCATTAGTGTGAAATCAATACAAAGGACAAACAGCAAAAATCTAGATATATTCAACCATTAGATGCTTAATAATGTTCATACCACAACTTGCATATATGTGGGAAAGCTATGCAGCAATGTTCAAAACATGAAATGAAATAAAAATCCCTCAAGGAACTCGTTGTTAATGGTGTTGAATTAGTAAAAACCATTGCTCTGCTTCAACTCATAAAACTCCAAGGCCATTCATACTGCAAAACTAATGCTGGAGGCTTCAATAATCACATTACCTAATACCAGATACGTGGGACAACTATGATTCATTATTCAAAACATTTTGAAATTAAGAACTGTTTCTTTTAGAAACTTCTACAGAGCAGACGTAATTCCGAGGTATAGCTGACGTTCTTACAACCAATTTCAGCAGGGATTTCAAAATTATTTCTCAATATCTAGTTGATTTTCTTTTATTTCTCAATTTTCTTATTGGATTCCCAACTGATGAACGTTCGCATTTGCTGTAGCTGACAAATGAAGACCATTGAAGCAGTCAATTTATGGACAGATTAACTCGTAATTTTTTGAAAGAACTCGATCCAACAATGTCCTAAAACTTATTATTAAATGATTAGAAAAAAGGAAATATGAAATTTTGCCTATACCCAAGGCTTATGAATCTGCATGATAGAACAGCCTTGCCGGCAGACCAAGCCTGTAGCTTTGCATACTGGAACTTCAGGAAACCAGTTAACATCAATCTTGTCCCAAGAAAAATGAACTTTACCCGCTGAAATTGTCTTATGAGATCGTATTTGACTCAAGCAGATTCTATGCTAGGCTTATTTTTTTCATTCATTTTTTGTAAGTAAATTCTATTATCGGATCATCTTGATACATAGGGAGCAAGTATTGAGAATGACTTATAGAAAAAGAATGTCAAATAGAAAGGGAGCTTAATAACAAAAAAGCATTGATCATCTAATCAAACATAGTTGTCCAATTTATAGCTGGCATGAAGTTAAAAGGAAAAAAATTAGAGTAGCCTGAAAATTAAGCTCTTTCTCTCCTTACAATCTTGCAAAGAAAAATACTTGCAGCCTTACCTTAAAGGGTTTTTCTTCAGATTAAAGACAAACTGAACGTCTTTTTTATTTCTAAATATTTATCAACTGGATGGATAATCCTGAATATTCATTACAGAAACCAATGCTTGCCTGGCCATCTTTTCCCTACCTTTCAACATAGCAGTATTATGCCAATGGTTGGTGATTGGAACCTCTGGTCCTTTTAGTTGCAGTGTCCAAACCCAAATTGTAAGCCTAGCTACAAAGCTTTGTTTAGCAGTGCAAAGATTCATTTTGACCATGAATTTCACCCAAAAGCACTAATCTATACAGCGGATAAGTGAAACAAATATCCAAGGATCCATTGACGAGACAGTCCAAGTAACATCTGACTCGGGTGCATTTTCTTCTTTTCATTTAATCCTCCTAAAATATTGAGTAAGCTCTAAAACCCAAATATGAAGAAGCTGAAGAGCAGCAGCATGCCTGCAATAATACTACTGTTTCTTTTGTTTTCCTTTTGCTTCTTTTGGATGAGTTGCTCCTTTACTTTCATCATCATTTTGAATCCGAATCCAGTCAGAATGATACTTGTCATCATATGCAACAACCTTCCCATCAAGAAACGGCTCTCCTGGAAAACAACCACACGATGTTGGCAAAAAAATGAAAACTCATAAGTGGTTAAGAAAAGCATCTAATTGTAGAAAAAACCACATTGCTGCTTGACAGTCAATTGTTATGAAGGGAGGAAGAATTGCTTTTGTGTGATATTAACATGAAATGGAGGAAGAAATGCAGGCATATTAGCATAGCAGAACAAGTAAACCTCATACATACTAGTTGGTTAAAAAAACTACCCAACTGTAGAAAGGATTTGCTGCAATTATTAAAAAGGTAGAAAGAATTACTCGTGTATGATACATTTCAATCTATCAAGGTTCATAAGATAAATAATTTCAATGCCATTCAACTCTATCAAGTGCAGTGCATGAAAAATTCTTCTCCTGCCACCATATTAACTGTTATTGATTGCAGTGCAACAGAGCTTAACAACTAAGAAGAGTGAGGATTACAACAAATAGGAGCTTCATTTTGCTAAATAAAGACATAATAAGCATCAATGATTGACTTTCAAATTGTGAAATGGACACTTCAGGACACATGAAGTACCTCACTTTAATATCTCAAGTATTCCAACTTCTTGTTTAATAACAACAGCAGCACCAACAAGTTCTAATGATAATGTGAACAACAGAACTGAGCAATTCCATTGCCGTTGGGAGATAAATGCCTAAAGGTGGAGTAATCTAGGAAAGCAGTTCACAAGTAATGACTATGGATGCATCATCATTAATGCTTAATTGAATTCTCTCCAATTCATTCCCATTTATCCTCCAATGTATTTTCTATCAATCTCAAAAGAAACAAAGTAAAATTATTAGTCCTTTATCCAGCAATCAAGCATAAGCCTGATAAAAAATCTATCTTGATAAACTGCACATAATTCAATATCTTAATCACAGAATAATAATGCATTTTGAGAAAGAAAGTAAGACAATTCAAAGCAAAAACTTTACCTCCATAGCTATTATTACCGTGGCCAGAATAAGAATCTGGTAAAACCCATTTCACATTAGGCAGAGCTGCAAGCAACCAACACAATACTGCATCATTTTATAATCTTGAAAAAGGAATATATTTGGAAAGGGAAACACAAAAATAGAATTGGGAATGCTTACATTTAATTTTAAAAGCCAACTCTTCCGAAACTTTGCAACCAAATGCATAGTAGTACTTGGTCGAAACAGAGTATATAGACTTCTTGGCTTCCTCTTCACTGCGCATAAACACCAAAATATAAACCAAAAAAAGAAACCCATTTTTGAAATGCAAAAAGGAAAAAAAATCAACGATTTTTACCTTCCCAACGCCATTGCTAGGGTCTTAATGTAGGTGTCGACAATCTCATGTCGAAGTGGGTATCCCTTGGGAGCCTCCATAACCACGAACCAGTGTTCATAGTCACATCCCTCCACCACAACTGGTGTCCGAGTCAACTCGGTCCTTTCAGGAAACGCTGAGTTAGTAGATCCCCAATCGCTTGAGAAGTATCTTGAGAATATACTAGACGGATTGGTTGAGCAACTGCGAGGGTTTAGCCTCTGAACGACTCTTGACAACATTTTATTGCTCCTGTTGAAGTTATTTTTGCTTGATTGTTAATGACTTTCTCTTTTATTTATTTAGAGAAGGCATGATTTAAAAATAAATAAGGTTAAAATATTATTTGGGTCGAATTATATCGTTTTTATCATTTTTAGCATTTTATGAATAAAAATATATAATTAATTATTTAAAATTTCATTTGGTCAGTAATTTACCTCATTTGACAATCACCATTAGTCTGAAAACTAATTTAACATTAACATTAACATTAACGTCTAATAAAATTATAACACATCATGTAAATTCAATCAAAATAAAAGTACTATAATCCTCATATTGTTACAAATCTCTAAATTTATTTTAATACATATTTTATATCATTAGCAGTGATTTAAAAAAAAATCAAATGAGAAGGTAACTCATTCCACCAACAAACATATATATATTTTTTAATTTTTTTAATTTATTCTTAATAACTTATTTTTTATGTTTGAAAAAAATATTATATGCATGAATTTTTTTGAATTTATAATTTTCAAATGCTAACAAAAATTTTATACCAACTAATTCAAACATTAATTGTACCGACAAACATATCTTAAATCCTTTTTCGTTTAAAAAAAATCTTCAAAAACTTGTTGAACTTGTTGCTGAAGGCCTTCATTCTCATAATTAGCATTGCAAATCCAGGAAACTGAGCTAGGAAATCGAGCCGCCGATATCTAACATCCCTTTAAGCAGGAACGACTCATCAAGCATCTCCCTGAACTTTTTTGGGGGGTGACAATCTCATTTTCACCAGCCATGCCGTGTATTTTTCTCCCTAGCACCATCCCATTGATCACGTTACTCAAATTTGAAACATGATCTTTCAAAAGAATTGGGGTATCGGATGCTTCGAACAACTCTTTTAGCAACAACTTCATTTCTTCTCTTCAGTTATACTCGAATGACTCTAGGCGTGCTTGACGCCAGTACGGACCGTAGGGTAACCATGTAATGTCAGAGTAATTGAAAGTAGTGTATTTGCCGGAGGCAATCTTGGGTCGACAAGCGAAGATAACATCATGGGTTTTAAGGATGACTTCGGCCATTTTCAATGGATGAGCCCACGACAATAGGGAATGATTCCAATTTGAGTTTGCATGATGGTACCGTATTTTTGGGAGAGGGCATGGATCGACAGGTGGGGAACTGAGACGATGAGGTTGAGGTTGCTAATTATGGGCCAGGGTTTTGGGCTGGGAGGCAAGTTAAGTTTTCGACAGTGGCGGAGACAGAGGGACAGGAGGCTGAGGGCCAGAGTGGCTAGACATGCCGTCAAGTAGGAAGCCCAAGATGGAGTTTGCATTTGTTATAGTGACGGTGATGGGATGGGATGTGATGTGATGTGCTGCTTGCTTATATTCTTTAGTTCAAGTGGATTCCAAGTAGTCCCCATGGCGCCCATTGATTCCTTCTGTCGTCTCCTCAACTTCGTGGAAGTTAAAAAAAAAATAATAATAATAATAATCATTTATCACGATGAGTGAGACTAAAGCATTAAAGGGCACTTGAGTTGAGCGGAGTCAATTCAGCCAATGTTTCCATACTTATTTTTCAATTTTCTATATGATTAAAACCCCTAAATTACAAGAGTCCACAAATTTCACCTCTCGAGAAATTCGTTTTATTCATGATACTACCTCTTTTATTCTATTTTTTTAATTTATTTATGGGAGGAATCTGATGAAAATTAGGAGAATGAGAGAAGATTTTCTCTCTTAAACGTTATACTTAAATAAATATTAATAATGTTTTTTAAAAAATAATATATATACCTCTTATCTGAATAATTAAAATTAATAAAAAAATAAAAAAAATCTTAATAAAATTTTTTGGATAAAAAATAAAAAAATAATTTATTATAAAATTTTTTTATAAAATAAGATATAATATAAAAATACATTTTCAATGCTTATATCTATTATCTATTTTTTTTACACTTATTTATATTTTTTATTAGTCATACGTTCATAAATACGATGATTAATCTAGAAAAGTAGCATGGCAGATGCTACCTCTATTACATTGAATTATATCAGTCGAAAGTTAGCTGTATACCCAGAGTGAGACCAATTTTTTTTTATGCTTTTGAGCTTTTCTATCCAATTAGATGTTATTCGCTGCAATGTTGTCATCTTGTTTCCACTTCAACATTTTTGAAAATTTAAAGCTACCATTGATACTAGTAATAAGATAAATTAATACATTGAATTGATAGTTTGCAAAAAAAAAAAAAAAAAAAAACCCATAAAGCAACAAACAAGTGGAGCTGCAAGATTTGCTCAACAAATGAATGAAAGAAGTATAAGCAAAAGAGCCATTGTCATTAACTTGCTTTTTCTTTGTGGTATATTTATTTATTCCTAAAACAAGAAATAAAATATTTTTATATTAAAAAAGATGCGTGAAATTTATTTTTAAAAAATAATATTAAAAAAATTATAATATAATTGTAATGCAATTAAATTTTTAATGTTAATAAAAATATAAATATAATAATTTTTTCATAAAAATTTTTTTCAAACTTTCCTTTCGTAATTTTTTCTCTAAATTAAGGTATAAAAAAGGTTGATTAACAAGAAAATTAAAAATTATTTAACTTTTACATTTTTTAAAATTAAAAGTTAATCCAAACTAAAAATAATTTTTTTTTCTTTTACTTTCCTTTATTTTTTTTCTTTCTTTTCCCTCTCCTCAATCCAAACACATTGATTAATGTGATGCCCAATATTACCACTACAAAAAGAACATTAGTGTAATAATTTTTTTTATTTGTATGTGAAAAGAATTAAATAATAAAGGAATTAAATTAAGAATTTAACTTAAGAAGATATTTATATTCTCATCTGCTATTAAAAAATTTTCCATATTAATGATTTGTATTGTTTTAAATTATTCCAATTTATTTATTGAATATAGTTTTAATTAAATGCTATATTTGACTTCGTGAGAAATTATTGTGAATCATTGGAAATAACTATGCTACAATTGTTTTCAACCAACCATCTTTAATGTGACGGAAAATAATGGCATCATTATTTTTTTTATTTTTAACATTGTTTTATGTCAATTTTGATTTTTTATATGCAGATCCACATGTAATATTAGAGTGTCCGCATGCACTCCAAAAAATAAAAAATAATTTAAAAAATTTTTTTAACATCGATAAAATTAATAAATTTATCACTAATTTTTTATATATTTTATAAGTGAACATTCTGAAAAAAATTATAAATCCGTCACTATTTATATAAATTTATTTTTGATTGCTTAATAATAATAATAATAATACTATGATACAACAGCATGCCTAAAAGCTCTATATCATATACACCACTAATTTAAAAATAGTTATGCCTATTGCCGACCGCAATTGGAAGCCAGCCTCAAAGGTCTAATGAAAACTATTACCTAAGTTTTGATTACAAATAAATAAATTTAAGCAACATGATTATAATTTTGGATCATATTGAAACACTGTTAGGAACCCCCCTGCACGTTACTCCAGGGTCTGAGCTAGGTGCAAGCAGCTCATATGGTATCACCCCAGCTCCACAACGGTTCCTGAGGCTAGAATCAGCGTTCCTTTTCTCTATCTCCTTTTCTATCCGTCTGATCTCTGCAGAAAATCCGTAAAATGCCTCAATTATCTCAGCATCACCTGACCATATCGATGGTTGCTGTCGTTCCCCTAAGTACTCCTCATCAGGCGAGTGCGTTGACAAGGTGTCCACCACGGCCATGAATTTTGTAGCTTGTAGTAAACTTGGCAATGCTGATAGGAAATATTTTTGTGGGTCAGCTAGGAAATTAGCATACTCAGGGTCATTTTCTTCGGGTATTAATCTTCTCATTAGAGGTGGACGGCTAGGCACGTAACCACCATAAGGGTACTGTCCGAAATTAAGTGCAGCATGTTGGGCGGATGCAAGCCAAATGATGGTGGTGAGGATGGAGACTAGATCATCAGCGGTCTTCAATGTTGGCCACCAGTCCTCGTGGCTGATATCAGCGTGGCCTACGTGGACGGACTCATGGTACCAGCTTTGTAGCTCTCTGTCATTGCAAATTAGGCTTGAATTTGGGTAGTAATGGTTCACGTAGGTTCGAACCCAATTCTCAATCGCATTCCATATTAGTAGCCCGTCCGAGGCATAAGGATAGTCTTCAATTAGGAGCTTTAGACCATGTGGCTGTGTTGGGTCAGGTACCGCAATTCCCCTGCACAATGAAAGGACAATTCTTCTGTTAGATTCACTTGAAAGATTTTCTTCCGCCAAATGTAGCAAAACATAAATTCCATGTCAAGAAAGAACTCAGGGTTTTATACAAATATGTCCATATGTTCCAATCGATCTCCTGTTAGAGTTGAATGATTTGTTTTGTTATCCTCTGGATCCAAATTCTTTTCCCTACTTTCAATGTTCATAAAATTAAAAATTACTCGGTATTTACCTTCGGATAAGATCAGCAGGTAGGCCTTCCTTGTCAAAGCGCCAATGGCTCCGATAAGCTGCAGCACTCAACTCCATGCAGTAGCGACCAGGAGTGAAGCAAGACTCAATAACACCATCAGCGCTGATCAAGGTTTGGCGAGCAATAGCATTAATTTCTAGTGTATATCTCATATGTGGATCCAAAAGCTTAAAAATTGGGTGCATTGCGCTCAATTGCCTATATGACGCCAGTATAAAGGGCTCCACGCCTGCATGTGTACGTAACCTATTGTCATAAAAACAATTCAGTTATTTTGACATACGAGAACAAAACAAATATAATTTGATGTTAAAAATTTAAGCTTTGCTTACCAGTGGTTAACCAATTGGTGAACTCCAACATCATTGGAGCAAACGTGAGCCTTAGCAAGCTGCCATATCCAATTCGTAGTTGCATCAACAGGAGGTGTGACAACACGCTTGGATTGCGAACGCTGTGCGGTGTGTGGGAGGCTTAGCTCAATGGCAATTGGCTTAAGAGTCCCAATAGGAGTCAAGAAAAATATGGTACGAGTAGCATATGATTTTCGCCCATCAAGTGCATTGATCCGATCAAGAAATGGTAGATAAATGTCATGATAATCCACCATAAACAGCTTGTTTTCTTCCAAAGCCTGAATTCAATTAAACAAATACAAGAAAATTAACATCTTTCGAATTATATATGGTGGTTAAGAACACTATGATTTGATAAATTTAATTAAATTTACCTGTCGAACAGTCATGCCATTAAGCTGGCCCACTATATGCTCTTCTTTGAGGGCAGATTCCTGTGGACCATAGATTTCAGGATCAAGCTTGCTTACTGGTGGAAAAGTTGCAACTCTCTCGACGTTGACAGGGTTGACACCTGCCAATGCTTGACGGGCAAATTCGTCATCTCGCAACCATGCAAACTTGTCCTCTGCATATGTGGATCACATGTTGCTTCAGCAAAGCAAATTTAAAAAACTTTTTGACCCCATGAAAAAATGCCTATTATTATCAGAGATCAAATACTGACAAACGTTCATATTATAGTGCATTTGGCTATCATAAAAAGATAATGTGAATATGGAAAACTCTTTTTGAAAGGTAAACGAAATTGTACTCACTGGAAACAATTTTGGGGGTTTCAAATTTGAGAAGTCCTTCACTAGAGTCTTGTATTTTGCTGACCAATTTTGGCAGTCCAAGGTTATTCATGATTTCTTCATGTAAACCTAATTTGAGGAGGAGCCCTTCTTTGTAAAGCCCATCAATGTCAGCAAAGGAGTTTATGTCGCGGTTATAGGCTGAAATACTTGCTTTTAACTGTGGCAGCAAGTTGTGAAGCACTGCTCTAAGCCTCCCAGCAGAGAAAGTGTTCTGCTTTGACTCCTCAAACTGTTCATCTCTAGGCACATACGTTGGCATTGGCTTCTCAACTCGACTCTCTGCTTGTATGTCTGCCATTTACAAAGAAGAATTACAGTTTATTAAAAAATCCAAGCAAATCCCAAATTTTTAATTTTATTTTCATAGTTGAAAATAAGATAAGGGTGATTAAAAAGTCAAAGCAAAAAAATTGCCTGTCAAGTTATTAGTTGATAGAGTGATAAATTTTTAATTTTAGTAATTAGAATTTAATTTTTAATAATCTTAAATATATATATAAATATATATATATAACTTTAGAAAAAGTAAAAAAGAATGTGGGTCTGGACCACTAATTCTGGTCGCCAACAATTTTCAGAAACAGACAATCACAAAATGGTGCTCCATTCCCATTTATAATTGATAAAGAAATTTCACACAATGATACCACTTGTTTTTCACTGTAATTAAAGAATTTCAAAGGATTTTTCTAAATAGCAGCCTTGTTTACCACGTGCTTTTTTTATTTTTTTGATTTTTTTATAACAACTTTTAAAGCATACAAGCTATGTTGATTCTAGAGTTGGCATTAGAAAATGGAAATGGTTTCTACATATATTTACCGGTTTCAGTAGGAAGACGCCCTGTGCGACACCGTCTTGGGTAAGGAATTTTTTCACCTCCAAGCGTTGGCCTAGCAAAATCAATTCCCCTGTCTGGATTTCCCAAGTCATTGTATACATCGAAGTCGTAAACCCTGTCAGAGAGTTTTCGGACTCCTTTGCCATTGCCCCTCTGATCCCTCAGCTCCTTCTCTCTTAATGCTCTAAGACCTTTTGGTGTCTCGCTCGGCAAGTAGGGCTGTTCAAAACAGCAAATAAATATCAGAAATCATATTTAAGAACTAATCATTGCACATAGTATAACGTTAACTAGGATGTTCTACTATGCAGCTACGGAGAGGTTGTTTTCGCTCATTTAGCAAACCGGTCATGCCCATAAAACCCATCAATCTGACTAATTTTTATCGTAGATGGCTTCGGACCATGACACCTTTTAGGTGTTGACCTGAAAAATTTTAGATACGATGCCATAATATAATATGAATAAAATTTAAAACTTTGACAAAACTTAACATAAATTTGATAAAAATAAAATATTATATTTCACATTTGATGTATCAATAATTTTCGAATTTGATACGAAACAAATACGACACAAAGTCTGAATCTAGCTGACCCATGTATTTTAAAGGAAATTAGTTAAAATGTTCTTTTCTTATTTCACTTACTGGTCCAGATTTACACATATATATTTAATATATTCAACTTCCATTTCTACCTATTAAAGAGTTACAAGTTCATTTTCTTGGTCATATTAACTTACTAATAAATTATTAACAATATAATCTAGCTTGCAAGCAAATACTTGTTCAAAAAGTAATTTGTTTTGACTTATAAAAATAATTGAAAATCCAAGTAAGATAAGGAATGAGATGAAATTTCAATATCAGCTAGCTCTGACTGGTTCAACTTTGTCCTTTGATAAAGATTCAACAGCTCAAATATATGGTTTTGACCTTTCTGTAAACTTTGTCATTGAACAGATGTCAATGGTCAAGAACACAACAAGGAAAATCTAACTGGCATTGTAGGAAAAAGTATAGACGTTTGAAAAAAGATGAACAGAGATATGATTCAAATTGGAAACAATAAATATAATATACTTTTTAATGAATGGTAAAACTAAATTGTGTTTTACCTGATTAGAGAAGAATATCCTTTTTCCAGGATAATCTTTCTTGGATTGTATCCAGGAATTGCAAGGAAAATGCACTGGACCACAAGCAAATCCTTCAATGGTGATGCTCTCCAGGAAAAACTCCCTTTGGTGTTTGTTTGTCACCGTGATTGCCCCTGGCACCCCGAAGCTTGAGTCCACAGTAAACTCAGCTGTGTAATGGACCCTCTCAGCTTTAACGTTTGCTTTCTTGGACCAATCCTTCAGCACCGCTTCACTGCTTTTCTTTGGACCCTTGGTTTCTGCAATATAGAGATCAAAAAGAAAAAAAAAAGAAAACCCAGAATTAAACGAAAGTTATTTTTTAAGGGACGGTTTTTTTAGTAAAATTTAGCATCAGAAAGGTGAAAAAAGAAGTCACCCAAATGGAGAAAAACCAGAGATTGGTACAAATGATCATCATTTTAGCAAAAAACTATGAACAATTAAAGACAAATTCAGAAGAAACAGGACTTACTAGGATCTTCTTCAGTGCTAATGAGTTCCAAAACAACATTCCTCCCAATCTTGTCAGTAAAAGCATCCAAATGCTTCACTAAAGTTTCTTTAAAGTCTTCCTTGTTCTTATTCCTGACCGTTACAGCAGCTCTGACCTTAAATTTAACCGCTTTTTCCTTTTGATCCGGTACAGGCTTTATCACTTCTTCACTAAGAGCAGCTACAGGAGGCTTGGCAACTTTCCTCAAATGCACCCTCCTTTGCTTCAATGGAACCAAGACAGGGTTAACCAGGAAGCGTTTCTGCTTCTGTTGAAACCTATTATTATTACTAGTACAATTCAGAAACACTTTTGATGAAGATACAAATGATGATCTGTCAATCAAAGAACAACCCATAATTTCTTTAGCCAGTGCCATGTTTCTATCAAGTTCCTCTCTCTTTTCCTCTGCCTAAAACGGCCTCTTTCTTTTGTCAGGGTTCTTGTTTTGGCAGAGAAGAGAAATGGGAGTTTTGAAAAGAGACTAATGATTTTTCTCTTTTTGCTTTGAAGAGTTGAGTCACCAACTGCGGGCGGTCTCTTATTTATACACAAAACGTAAAGGAACAAGTGTTTGCAGAGTTTTTATTTGAACTATGGTTTCTCAATTCTCACCGTCCACACGTTTTTTTCGACCTTTATGTTGTGCCTTTAACATTGGCTGCTGCTTTTTTTTTTTACACTATTTTTGTTGCTGATTGTTTTTAAATAGAGGAAATCAAAGAAAATAGGTTACTGAGTCAAAACGAGTTTCAGCCTTCCAATGCCTAGTAAACGACGCGGTTTGGGGAAAGCAAAGAGAAAGTGGGGGAGGAGTTGCTGAAAAGACACTTATCTCCTTGTCTTGCAACGTTCTTATATATTAACATTAAATAATTATCAAAATCCGATTATTTTTTGAATCATTATAGGTTTGAAATAATTTATACATATAATATTTTTTAATTAGATAAATAGTAAGATAGGAAGATTTAAAAGTAAATTAAAATTTTCAAAAAAAAAAAAGTCCAAAAATATGTTTTTGTTTATTTATTTAATGTATCAAAACTATTTTTTAACACTTAATACTCTTATTTTTCATATTTTTTAATAAATTTATAAATTTTTATTGCATCAATTGAAATAGATAATTGAGACAAAATTCTAAGTTAGTTAGTGCTATGTTTTCTCCCTCAACTCATACTTTTTTTTTATTTTACATTATTAAGATTTAAATATTAATAATTAAAATTAAAAATCTAATACTCTATTAATAAATTATATAATTATTAGCTCTAATGCTCACATTATTTCCGTGGATAAGATCCCAACCAATTTCCATAAAGGCAGGCAAATCCATCTTTTCTTTATTATTATTTTTTAAAAAAAAATTTAGAGATAAATAAATTATTCAATCTTTTATATCAAAATAAAATATGACATATTTAACAATTTAAAATAAATGATTGTAGGTCATATATTTAAAATAATTTTAACAAATGATCACTAACAAAATTCGAACTCAAAATCTCATTAAAAGATAAATAAAAACAAATATTTTGGCCCTTAATTGGACTTTTTTTTTTTTAGTTTTTAGACATCCAATGGTTAGAATTTAAAGAAAATTTTTTTTTGATCCTTTGGAACATCACTATGAAATACAAACGTCAAAACTTACGGTTCAATTATTAAAACTCACATGATTGAATGAAAAAAGTGTAGTGGAAAGTTTTCTTTTGATTCATGGACTCTATATTATTATAATCAATTAAACTTTAATCTTCAAAATTTGTGTCTTTTTCAATTGCTATATTAGTATTTTCTAAGTCTAATCCTCTTAAGACTAACCCTATTGTAACTAGCATTTTGGCAGCATCAAATGCTAAGCATGCTATTATATATATTTAAAATTAATATTTGATATATTATCAGTGTAATTTTTTAATTTTATAAATAAAATTAAAATTGATATATTTTTTATTTATTTTTTATTTTTTAAATATATATTTAAAAAATATGTCATTCTATGCAGAATCTAAAAATTCTATCCATTATGCATGGAATAAATTTATTTTTTTTATAAATATTTTGTCAGGATGTCCCTTATCATGAAAGAGTTAAGGCCAAAATAGAGCAACAAAAAATCTTCTGTAACATAAAATTGTAAGAAACAAAAGAAACAAATATTTGTGGTGGGAGGCAGGATTTACTTTAAGGAAATGTAGATTTGGATACGAACCGCATAACACTATGGAGTCAACTTTCTGCAGTGGTGGAGCCTTCATCTTGTAAATTAAAGGAAAAAATATCACATGATTTTTCAAGAAGTTGTTGCTGTTTGTCTCCTTTTATACCAATAAATGCAGCCTGGCATTAATGGCTATGGCCACCCATGGCCAACATTAAGCTAGCTACTAGGGAGTTTCGGCTTAAATTAAAAAATTTATATATAGTTGGATTTTGATCGGTTGGAAGATATATATTTGATGATCAATTAGTTTATTTGGTAATTAAATTTATTTAATACACAAAATATCTTTGATTTTTATAAGATATTATTTGGTAGGCATAATTAAGTATTTGTGGCATGACGAGCAACCTCTTGTTGTTTTTTGGAAAACACACAAATAAATAAGTGTTTAGTAGATTTTTCTTCCAATATAATATGGTTTTGTTTTATAGTACATATAAATAAAAATCTTTGTTAATTCACTATCATTGAATATTCATTTTGCATTCTACAATTATTTATAAATTGTTCATAAAAATCTATATAATTTATCATATTAGTAGACATAAACAAAGGAAAGTGCCATAAATTTGTAATGCTATAGCAATAAGTATATTATACAAAGTCATACAAAAAAGAAAAAAAAAAGAAATAACCATAACAAATGCATCAAAATTTTCATGAAGATTAAGTGATTAATATTATCTTGGACCGTTTAAATTTTGATCTCGAACTAAAATTTTTTATTTTGGAGGATGAAAATATAAACTCGATCAACCATTAACAAATAATCATATCCATAATGTGGGCAGATCCAATCTAAAGATGCAAAAATATTGATATGGTATGTACCCTAGCTAAATCATTTTCATACTAATAAAAATAAACATAAATTTAATGGTTAAAAACAAAAAGAATATGAAAGCTGTAAAAGTTATATATATAATCCTCTTAATTTCCAATTTTCTTACTTTTATATTATTCAATAATAAAATATAATCGTGCTGTTTATGAGATTAATATTAAAATTTTAATTATAATGATAAAAATCAAAATTTTATAATCTCAAACATAAAAAAAAAAAAAATTTATTTTCTTGGATGAAAGAAGAGGAAATTGCAAAGAAGGGAGGGCATTTATAGGACTTCACAAGTGGAAATATAAAAATATAATTAGCAACGATTTAAGGCGTGCTGAAATTATTTAGTGGCTTTGCATATGTAAGCAAGATCGGTCTCCAAATGTAAAAGGCCTATTGCTCGATGCTAATGGAAGTGCAGCCAGTTTGGGTTTGGTAGATACAAATAATTTCAAAGCACTGCTTTCCTTCTTTTCTTCCCAAAAGTGGATTCTTTTATTACGACACTCACTTTGAAGATTATCCTAAACTTTGTGCTTTTTTTTTTTTTTCTTTAAAAAGGGTTTATCCTTTCTTGAAACTTAAAATTTTAATAGTTCAATGAGATTAATCTTTAATTTTATTGAATTTTTAATTTTATTAGTTTTTATAAAAAAACACATTTTTTTGTTGATGTAAATAACAAAATTTGTAATTACTTTTAATTTTATTGAAATTTTTAATAAAATAATAAATTAAAATATTTCATTAAATATTATGTTAATGTAAATGATAAATTTTCATTAATTTGATTACTTTATGTGAAGCTTATTTAAAAAAAAAACAAAAAATTGAAAGTGCAATGATAAAATTTAATATTTACTCGTAATACAATTGCAAATTTGATCTTAATCCCTAATCTAATTTATATTTGATTAATTTGACGGAAAAAAAAAATCCTCCGGATTAAGAATGTTAAGAGCTGTTATCCACATTTCTTAAGTTTTAATTTATTTTTTTATAAAAATAATTTTGTATATAATTTTATATTCATATTAAAATTAAAATCTCTCTATTTATAATCAATTAATTTTAATAATTATTAAATATAAATATCATGTTTACGTCTCCTGAAGTCAGCAACAGTTTTGTTGGGTCTAGTTTTATGTATATCCGAATTCCACAACAGTTTTGTCAGACGTAACCCTATATTTTTTTTGAAAAAAAATAAAAATAAAAGAGATTACTCCAATCAAAACAAATTCATAATTTATATTTTTAAAAATTTTTAAAATTTATAAATTATTTACAACAAAAAATTATAAAAATTTAAATTTAATCACTTACATTAATGATTTATCCTTATATTATTATATTTAATACGATCATAAAAAATAATTATTATAATTTATGGAGGAAAGCCTTTAGAAGTTGAAAATCTTTGCTTGAAACTTTCCATTAACGATAAAAATAAAAAATAAAAAATTAATGGGGCCTAATATATAAAATCATAAAATTTTTGAAGAAGCTAGATGCTGTGTTTGGTAGATAAAGGGGCATCATTAAAACATGTAATGCCTTATTTCAATGGGTATCTTTTCGATGTCCTAGTACTTGGTATCTCTCACCTCCCCCACCACGAACTTCTTTTATAATTTGATATTTTAAAAAAAAAAAAAATTGCCAGCTTCAATAAATAAAATAATTAATTCAATCGGATGGCATTTTCCCTTCGTGAATATAATTTAAACATTTCATTTATAGATACACAGAGAACACTTACATTAAATTTAAGAAATAATAAGATAAGATTATGTAAGTGCGTGCTTTAGGAAAAGATTTAGATAAAGGTTTTATAGATAAAATTGGTAAAATATTTTATTAAAAATAATTATTAAAATTTTTAATAAAGCATTTTTAAAAAATACTTCATAAATTTCATCTAAAAAATTTCATGTAAATTTTGTACGTGTAATTTAAGTATCTTTGATTTTTTTTTTTCAACATAAGTATCTAATCTTTGGTTTGGCTAGTTTTATTTTATTTTATTTAAATAATAAAGAATTTTTAGATTTTATTAAATGCATTTTTTTGAAAAAAATGCAAATAAATTTATCATACCAAATTTAATAAATTTATAAAAATTTATTTTTAATAATTTTTTAATAAGTTATCATTATAATAGACACTCTGGTTAACAAAATTGATAACTGGCTTTTTTAAATACTGCAGTTAAAAACTTTTTTCAAGTTTTATTATATTTAAATTTTTTTTTTTGAGACGATTTTAAGATGTATTTTCTCACAGAGATTTGACGCACTAATGATTTTAGTCGTCAAGTGTTTCCACGAAGATCAAATAAAGAGAAATGCAGCAGATCTTTGGTTTGGAGTTTGGACCCAGTATGACTCAATCAACGAAAAACTCTTGTTGGACTCACCAGGTCGCCACTGGTTTTCCCATCTATAAGATTCAACTACCCAACAAATCTTTTATTTGATATTAGTACCTAACCAATGAAGAGTCGACTAATAAAGCCATAGCTATTCCCTTGAGTGATATTAAGGAAAGAGGTTTGACAGAATCCACCATATGCACACTGATTACCAACCACAGATTTGTACAG